TGTCTGGAGCCGTCGGGCGCCGCGGACTCCCAGAGGGTCGGCGGCCGGCCGGGCTCGGGCTGCGCGGCGAGTGATGGATGGCCTGCGGGATGGGGCGGCCGAGGTCTGGGGCTTCACCCCTTCGGCCCCGGGCGCTTCCTCGGGAAGGTGGCTGCCTGGGCAGTGGTCCGAGTTTCTCCGTACATCCTTCATCCTTTGGTTTTATATCGTGATGCGACAGATCCGAGCTTAGAATGCAAGGCAGACTTACTATACCTAATAAATATTGTGCTATAATTATTGTTTTATGACGGACCCACACAGACGCACCTCCTACCTATGCAGACGGCATCTTTTTTAAGTTAATAGCGGTTTGGCCCCTTCCCCTTCAGATGCGCTTATTTATTATTGATTGTGTCAGTAGCCAGGCTCTGTATCGTTCAAAGGCGTGTTTTTTTTCCCCTCCCCTTTTTCTTTTTTCCCTTTTAAATTGAGATATCGTAGACGTATAACATCGTGTTAGGTTTAGTCCAAGACGTGTTTGGAAGCGGTAGATTCTCACCTATTGGGCTTTTAAACTACACACGTCAGTGTTACTTCTGTTCTTAATAAACGTTTATATTTGCAGAACTTTAGTCAATGGAGTGCTTTCGCCTATATGAATTATTTCACATAAAACAACCACCCAGTCAGGCTGATGCTTTTTCCACTTTCTAGGTGAGGAAACGCATTAAGCATTTAAGCATTAAGCCAGGTGACTGGTGGCAGCCTTCCAGCGCCCTTGCCTCCTGTTCTTGCTCTTTATTTCCTCCTAAAGTCACCTCCAGAGTCTTTCAGTAAGCAAGTCATATCGCTACCGTGCTCTAAAGACCTTAACTGATCTTTATCAGAAACAAGCCTAAAATCCTCAGCAGAAGAACCAAGGCTCAAACTTCTGTAATCTTCCCCAAGCCTCAGGTATGGTTGGGTTTGTGACACCCCTGGAACAAGAAGAGCCCTTCACTGATAACCGGGGATCAGATATCTTTATTCCTGGGAGCCTCTCTGGCCACACAAGCAGTAAATGGGAAGTGAGAATCTAACCTGCCACCCTTGGCCAAATGGGCATGTTTGGGTTTGGCTGTAAAATGTCAGAAGGAGGCATCATGAGGACCTAGGCTTCTTCCAAGTCATGTAAATTTCCAACCCCATGAAAGACGGCCCTCTGCCAGACTTTATCTCATGGACTTGAAATCACCAGGTCTGCTGTTGATGATTTGAGCCCATGGTTTGTAAGATAGGGTAATACTTGGTCATCCAATATCATTTAAATCTTATTTTCTAGATAAAATGGAATTTACATCTAAGAGGCTCAACCTCTTCAGTGACCTAACTGTATGTTTATAATATTTAAAGGATTTGGTGCAAGCTTTTTGATCCCCTTGAGGGAAGTTTTTGTCACTTCTTTGCTCAGAATTGGTCAGTGGCTCCCCATCTTCAGTGGCTCCCCATCTTACTCAGACCAAAAGCCAAAGGCCCCTAAGTAGTCTACAAAGTCCTACAGGAACTGGTCCCATGATGTCCTACCTGTCTCACAATCTGTCCTTCCTTTCTGACTCCATCTCTCATTGCTTTCCCCAGCCCTCCTTTATGTTCCTACAATCCTCCTTGCCTGCTTCACCTCAGAGCCTTTGCACTTGCCATCCCATCTGCCTGGAACACCCTTCCTCCAGGTGCCCAAATGACTCTCTCTCACCTCCTTTGGTCTTTACTTTAAATACCATCTTCTCATTGAGACTTTCCCAAATATGGTTTTGATTTTCTTAAACACTTTTATACTTAATTCTGAATCTTTCCAGTGTTAAAAGATATTTATCCATACAGTTACCATTGCCAGTTTGCTGAAGTTCCTTATGGCCCAGAGATTTATGCTAAGAAGGCTAATGAGGTTTGTGTTGGTGACCCTGATGGGACACACTAAAGTCTTAGTTAAAAACTATGTGCCTTGGGCTTCCCTGGTGGCGCAGTGGTTGAGAATCTGCCTCAGGGGACATGGGTTCAAGCCCTGGTCTGGGAAGATCCCACATGCCGCGGATCAACTAGCAACGTGAGCCACAATCACTGAGCCTGTGCATCTGGAGCCTGTGCTCTGCAGCAAGAGAGGCCGCGATAGTGAGAGGCCCACGCACCGCGATGAAGAGTGGCCCCCACTTGCCGCAACTAGAGAAAGCCCTCGCACAGAAACGAAGACCCAACACAGCCATAAATAAATAAAATTTTTTTTAAAAAGGCAAAATTCCTTTAAAAAAACAACACAAAACTATGTGCCTTTATAAAGATGGTCTTCTATCCCACAGCCTTAACTGGAGTTACACTCGTTACCTAAATCTTTCGTCTGCTTGTGGAAATTCATGTCTTTTCCTTCTGTCCCAAAGACCTTTGCACTTAATGGTTTCTAAAATATGTATTGTCTTTTTCACCCACCTTTAAAGATCTTTGAACTTGATGGGAATCATTAATTCTTTAATATTCTTAGAACTATTATAGATATTAAACTCTTATAGATATTTTAAATGTTTCAAATTGAATTTGGACTGTCTACATGAACTAGTACAACTAGCTGTTCAACTTATAAGGTCAATCTACTGAAAAGAAAATTTGAAACATATTACCCGTTTCCATGACTTAATCACTTTTTTTTTTTTTTTTGTGGTACGCGGGCCTCTCACTGTTGTGGCCTCTCCCATTGCGGATCACAGGCTCCGACGTGCAGGCTCAGCGGCCATGGCTCACGGGCCTAGCCGCTCTGCGGCATGTGGGATCTTCCCAGACCGGGGCACGAACCCGTGTCCCCTGCATTGGCAGGCGGACTCTCAACCACTGCACCATTAGGAAAGCCCCTTAACCACATATTTTGAGAATAACTTAAACCTTTCCTTGGTGACTCAAGAGTACAATTATGAATGCAGGTTATGTTAATGCTTTGTCGTATTATGAAGTTTTAACTGATCTCAGTTTATAGGACAATTCCTATTTTCTTGCAAAGGTTCCTGTTATCACTTCTGTTATTCACTGTCCTCTGCCTTAATTTAGTTCCTCTCCATTTCTTGCTTTGACAATTGCATCAAGCCTTTAAAATGATCTCGCTGGCCCTGCCTCTCCCACTGTTTCTCTTCCTCCGTGCTGTTTCAGGTTTTCTTCTGGGTATACAAATTGGATCATCATAACAATAATACCTTATATTTATTGAGCCCTAACTTCATGCTAGGTATTGTGCTAGGCATTTTGCATACATTATGGGCAGAAGAAAAGTGCGAGACTTAACGAGTGCTTTGGTTTGGGGTCAGTCAGCCTGAATTCCAGTCTCTGTTCAGCTGCTCATGGTGCAGTCTTGGAGAAGATTTTCTTTTCATTTCTCTGTGCCTCCAATTCTTGATCTATACAATGTGAATCACAGCAGCAGTTACCTCATGAGGCTATTGTGAGGACTGAAATAAGATAACGAGTGTAAAATGCTTAGTACTGTGCCTAGTAAACATTCAAATATTAGCTATTTAGTTTTATTAAGATATAACTTATATACCATAAAATTCATCCTTTGAAAGTGTACAATTCAGTGTTTCTTAGTGTATTCACAAAGTTGTGCAACCATCACTACCCTCTAATTACAGAACATTTTCACCACTGCCTAAAGAAACCCCATATCCATTAATAGTCATTCCCCATTCCTGCATCTCCCTAACCCCCGACAACCACTAACCTACTGTCTGTCTGTTTCATCTGCCGATTCTGGATATTTCATATAAATGAAATCATAAAATATATGGTCTTTAGTGACTTGCTTCTTTCACTTAGCTTGAGGTTTTTAAGGTTCATCCATGTTGTAGCAGGTAATCAGTTCTTCTTTCCTTTTTATGGCTGAATAACATTCCATTGTATAGATCTACCACATTTTGTTTATCCATTTTCCCAAATGTTGATGGACATTTGGGTTGTTTCCACTCTTTCACTATTATGAATAATGCTGCTATAAACATTTGTATGCAAGTTTCTATGGAGACATATTTTCATTTCTCTTGGACATATACCTAGGAGTGGAATTGCAGTGTCCTTTGGTAACTTTGTGTTTAATCATTTAGGAACTGCCAGACTGTTTTCCAAAATGGGTGTACCATTTTACATTCCAGCCAGCAGTACATGAAGGTTCTGATTTCTCGACATCGTGGCCAACACTTGTTGTTTTCGTGTGTGTGTGTGTGTGTGTGTGTGTGTGTGTGTGTGTGTGTTGTAGTCATCCTAGTGGGTGTGAAGTCGTATCTCATGATTTTTACTTGCATTTCCCTAATGACTACTGATGCTAAACATATTTTCATGAGCTTATTGCTGTTTGTCTTAATTTATTTCTTATTGCTGTTAATCTTATTTATCTTAGCTACTATCTTATGTAATCCTCTTAACAGACTTCCTTAGAGCCTCTTAACAGTCAATATCCCCACTTTACAAAAA